TAATTTTTTTTTTAAAAAAAATATTTTCTAAATATAACTAAAAATAAATTTTATTTAAATTCAAATTAATAAATAAAATAAATTATAATTTATACATTAATGTTCACCACTCTCCCTTTAATGTATAAATTATAATCACCAAATTTATTTTGTTGGAACACTTCTCTCTAATATTTATTATTTGATTTTCATATTTTGAAGTACTTCCCTTTAATTATTGATGCACGTTTCACCAACCTCCGATTATTGATGAAAACCTAAAATCCTTTGGAACATTTCTCTCTAAATTTTAAAAAAGAGTTTCTTCTTCTTCTTCAACAATATTTGCTTACTCATTGTTCAACTTATAATTTTTTTTATATACTTAAATCTTTACGATAAAGATATTGTGATTTACAAGGGGAAAATTTTCTCCTTTTTGATATTGATGAAAACTTGTTTGACATCTCGTCAATAAAAACTCCTCCGTCAATTATTTTTTTTCATCTCTCATTGCTCTTTTTTGTTTCACGACTAGTAAAAAATTAATTAATTCTACAACAGTAATTTTTGAGAGATCCTTAAAATCTGCAAGTGATGAAATTTTTGACTCAAATTTTTTCGATAAACTCACAAGAATTTTTTCAATAATTTTACTGTCGAAAAACTTTTCACCAAATAATATAATTTTCTTAACAATTGTCGTGAGCTTGTTAACATATTCCTTGATTCCTTCTGATTCTTTCATCATTTGAATCTCAAATTCTCTCTTAAGATTCAAAACTTGTATCAACCTGGTTTGGTCATTGCTTAAATACTCAATCTTAAGCAAATTTCATATCTCTTTTGAAGTTTCATAAGTCATGATACTAGTGAAAATCACTTCAGAAACTAAAGAGTACAAGTAAGTTTTTGTTTTGTACTTCTTGAATTTTTCTTCTTTATGACTTTTTAGTTGAGCTGCAGTCGGATGAAATGGCAACGGTAAGAGTTCACCATCATTTTCAACCACATCGCACAAATCAAAAAATTGTAAATATATTAGCACTTTCGCAGCCCATAGTTGATAATTTTTCCCTATGAAAATGAGATGTGAAATCAATAGAAAAGTGTTGAGACCATATTTAGTGTAGAGAATTTCACTTATTTTCTCTTTCTATATATTGTTTCCTCATAAACTCATGATTAAGAAAGATTCTGATACTACTTGCTGAGATTTTTCTAAAATAAAAAAAAAATCTAAACTTTTATTAACTTCACTTACTCCAAAATTAATAATTTAAAGTGCATTTAAATACATTTACTTCAAATTTAAATTTTTTAAAAATAATCGGATACTATTTAAGAGATAAATATAAATCAAATTTATTAAAAAATAAATTCAAACTAATAACATGATTTTTCTAAAAATAAATATGTTTAAATCTAATTAAAAATAAATTTTATTTAAATTCGAACTAATAAATAAAATAAATTATAATTTATACATTAATTTTCAACATAAGCAACATGCTTGTTTCTTAACTTTCCAAGAAACAAAATTTTGCAACTTTATCAGCAGCTAAAGTCGAAAACTAGCTGGCAAAACTTGTTGTGTTCAAGTCCTATAGATAAAGCAACAACTTTTGAGACTTTTGAATTAAAATTGAAAGTTCCTATTAAATTTAATAATACTAGTGTTATTAACTTAAGTAAAAATCTCATTTAATATTTTAG